CTACTTGTGCACAAGTTTTTGTGAAAACACATGTTTTCACTACACTCAGACACATACTTAAGAATGGAATTGCTGGATTATATAATGATTCTATACTTAATTGTTTGAAGAACTCATAGACTGTTTTACCTGGGGAATTTTTAGAATACCCTATACCCCGCCCACACCAACCATCTCCCAGCCCTGATCAAATGAATCATGCTCTCTAGGGTTGGACTCCTTTTGATTTTAATACTTCCCCTTAGGTACATTCCACTGTGCTACCCATATTGGATTCAACTGCACTACAGTAGTAACCAGTAATATCTGGCATCTCAGTAATACCTAGTACATGGAATTACTTAATATTATCTTTTATAGAAAAATCATCAATTGAAAAGACTCAAAAAAAGACCATATTGTTTCAGTATTTGTTCATTACCTAAGCCAGCTACTCTAGTAATGCATGATGCTGGAAAGACATGGTTTGACTAGAACTTTCAAGACTTGTAGCTCTCTTTTCTGGCAAAGTTGATCTTTTTTTAAAAAATATATATTTTTATATATATATATATATATATATATATATATATATATATATATTATAGTTGTAATGGACAGAATGCCATTATTTTATTTATTTCTATGTGGTGCTGAGGATTGAACCCAGTGCCTCACACATGCTAGGCAAGCACTCTACCACTGAGCCACAACTCCAGCCCAAGGTTGATCTTCATACAAGACAGCAAATATCAGGCTGGATTTCAAATGCACTAAGAAAGTATTACTCCCACACATTCTTTGTCACATTTTGTAGGATGATGCCATGAAAAGTTCCTTCACTAAGGTCTAGAAAGATGATGAGTCTTCAAAAGTTCCATAAGAAACTGTACCCAGACATAGTGGCCATGCACGCCTGTAATCCCAGGTACTTGGGAGGCTGAGGCAAGAGGAGGATCACAAGTTTGAGGCCAGAAGAACTGTCTCAAGATAAAAGAAAAAGAGCTGGGAATGTAGCTCAGTCAGAAAGTTCTTCTGGGTTCAATTCCTAGTACCAAAAATAAAACAAAATTAAATTAAAATTAAAAAGCTGTGGCACATACCTGTAATCCTAGTACCCCAGGAGGCTGAGGCAGGAGGATAATGAGTTGAAAGCCAGCCTCAGCAACTTAACAAGGCCCTAAGCAACTCAACAAGACCCTGTCTCTAAATAAAAATATGAAAAGGGGTGGGGATTTGGTTCAGTGGTTAAGCACCCCTGGGTTCAATCCCTGGTACCAAAAATTAAAAAATAAAAATAAAGAAAAAGAAATAGCAAGCTCCATGGTAGAAAGGAAGAGAACAGGGTGAGAACCAGGTGGAGACTATAGAGTTTTTTGGGGCAAGAGGTAAAGGGAGGGAAAATTGGCAGGAAGGATTGTTTGCCTTTTCTCAGCCCCTTTCTGCCCTCAGGCTGTTCCACGTTCCCACATTTCTGGAGAGTCAGATCCGTTCTGACTCTGCTGGTAGGGGACACTGGGGGAAGGGGTGGTGTGTGGGGGTGGAGGTAGATGAGGGGAATCAAACAGATACATCCTGGATTGCATCATTCCACCCAAGGAGAACCCCTCCCTGTTTGGCACAACTCGGCGCCTAGAGATTTACAGCTGAAGACTCTCAAAATATTTCCAGGAGTATGTTTACAGCAAAACACATTGAATCAATCACTAATTATGAATTCTCAGTCTACTTCATATTGCTTCCAGACCTTTGCCCTGGTGACCCTTCCTCTCAATTTGTTTTAAAAGAGGAAATGCCATACTGTTGAAATTTCAGCCAATTCTCATTTGCCTTTTTTTTTTTTTTTTTGTACTGGAAATTGAACCCAGGGGTGCTTAACCACTAAGCCACATCCCTAGCCCTTTTTATTTTCTCTTTTTGAGATGGGGTATCATTAAGTTGCTGAGGCTGGCCTTGTACTTGTGATCCTCCTGCCTCAGTCTCCCAAGTTGCTGGGGTTTCAGACCTGTGCCATGGTGCCTGATTCACTTTTCATTTTCAGCATGTTGTCTGTGGCTTAAATATGCACAAAATGCTTTCATACATATTAGTTGCAGTTATGCCATTAAAAACCTTGTTTGGACTAGGAAAGTAGCTCACTGGTAGAGTACTTGCCTAGCATGTCTGTGAGGCCTTGGGTTCAAATTCCAGTAACAAAACAAAACAAAATGAACAAAACACCCCTACTACTTTGTAAAATATTATTGTCTTTATTTACAGATGAGAAAACAGAGACTTAAAAATGGTTAGATGACTTTCCCAAACACACACTACTTAGTCTTAGGCAGAGTCTTTTGACTATATATTCTTTCTGTTCTACCCGCCAAGCAGAATATCTAATAGGCCTCTGGAAGCATTTGAAAGTTAAAGGTACTTTTTCTGTAGGGTTCTGCTTTGTTTTCCTTTTTTTTTGGTATCAGAGATTGAACCCATGGGGCACTTAACCAAGCCACATCCCAGCCCTTTTTTATTTTTTACTTTGAGATAGGGTCTTGCTAAGTTGTAAATGGATGAGGCTGGCTTTTAACTCGTGGCCCTCTTGCCTCAGCCTCCCAGCCACTGAGTTTTATAGGTATTTTTGCTCTTAAATATTTTTAACTCCTGAACTATGAATAGGGGTAAAAGAGTAAAAAGTATCACTAAGTGGCTGAGATTGTGGCTCAGTGGTAGAGTGCTTGCATTGCATGTGTGAGGCAATGAGTTTGATCCTCAGCACCACATAAAAAAAAATAAATAGAATAAAGGTATTTTTTAAAAAGCACTAAAGAAGACTAAGGAACTAGCTGAGCTTAATTAACATGAATTTATAGTGGGACTAATATTTATTGTTTGTTTTTAATATTTGCCAGTACCATTGAATGCAATAGTTCTCAAAAATTTTTTTAAGTCTGGGATCCTTTTCGAAATGTGATAAATACAGTGCATTGTTGGGGGCTGAGGATATAGCTCAGTAGTAAAGTGCCTGCCTAGCAGGCACAAGGCCCTGGGTTCAATCCCTAGCACCACCAAAAAATTAAATGATTAACACAGTGTATTGTCTAGTCAGATAAAACACATACATATGTATATGGAAATTTTTCATATAAATTTGAAACGTTTACACAGCCCATCTTTGAATTCTAGGTTATAAACCCGTAAAAGGAACAGAAAAAAAAAACATAACTTTACTTATCCAGAATTGAGTATTAGCATGGCAAATATGATAGGAATTTTAAAATACAGCAAATTTAAAAGATCTATATCCAGTTGCTGACTTAACAATTCCACTTGGATAGCAAATAGAAGTCAAAATTTAGAACTCTTGACTTCCTCCTTTCACTCCAATAGGTCTCTTCTCCAATCTTCCACATCTCTGTTATTGGAACCACTCAGTTACTGAAGTCAACACCTGAGTCATTTTTGATTTTTCTTTTTTGCTCTCATATACAACTGATCAGCTGGTCTTGTCAATTTTGCCTTCATCACACGTTCTATACCCATCGACTTCTCTTTATATCCACTGCCACCAGTCAAGTCTAGGTCATGTGGATGGGCTGAGAAAATTCTTCATAGAGTGGGAGAGAAAGAACATTTAAAGGGATTCTTGAAAAAGGTGGAACATTTTGTACTAATCCAGGTAATCCCTGTGAAAGGCATGGAGGCCCCAGGCTCTGGAGGTAGCAGGGTGAGTAGAGCTTTTAAAATGGGTATAACTCTTCTGCTTTCTCTTCCTGAACAATTCAGTCCCCAAGTCAGTAAATGGTCAGGAGCAGGGTGGCTTGGAGGAATGAGCAAGGGCTCTCGAAGAAAGGGGTCGTCAGACTCCCAGCAGGATAGTATATAGAGTTAGATGCCAAGCAGGTACAGTGGTTTCAATCTGCAGTGTGGGCAGGGTGTCCACACATAAGAGAGGCCCTACATGGAGTGTCAGAACCCAAAGAGGGTAATGAGGCTGCCCATTCAGGGATGAGGAAGGCATCCATGGAACAGCAACCATGGAGGGCATTGGAGGGCCAAGAAGGGTAGAGAAGGAATCTACAAAATAATAAGCAAAGGGGAAAAGAGTAACTGTAGTGGAGAAGGCCAGCAGATACCCCCTAATCATAAGGAAATATTAGATCAACTCAAGTTGGGGACATCCTTATGCAACTTGCCTGTAATTTTCAGATGTAGCTGATGTTTAGAGTTGACTAGATTTAGCTGAGTGCCATGGCACATGCCTTAATCCCAGTGACTTGGAAGGCTAAGGCAGGAGGATCAGTAGTTCAAAGCCAGCCTCAGCAACTTAGCAAGGCCTTGTCTCTAATAAAATATAAAAAAAGTGCTGGGGATGTGGCTCAGTGGTTAAGTGCCCCTGGGATCAATTCCTGATACAAAAAAAAATATATTTGATTAGATTTTTAAAATTTGGAAAGTAATCATAACAAATATGATAAACAAGGGGTTAATAGCATTTTTATATGAACATCTCATACAAATAGAGAAGAAAAACTTAAAACCTCAAGAAAAAGCAGTTGCTTTGTACTCATTTGAAGAATTTCATTTCTCCCACAAATCAGCCTGGTAAAAGAAAGACTGGTTCCTTCAGAGAACCCTGTACCTTTCCTTTATGGCACTTTTCCCTTTCATAATTATTGTTAAATATTTGTAGATCTTTCTGTATAATGCCTGTCTCCCATTTTTTCTTCTGTAGGCTGGAAAAAAAGCAGTATTTCTTTTGGCTTGTTTTATGCATTCTGGGGCTCTCAGGATTTGACATACAGTTCTCCATCAGTAAATATTGGCTGATTGCATAAATGGAGGGGGGGTCAGGATATTCTATAACAGAGAAACAGGTCGTTTATGGATTGAGTCCCATGCCTAGAAGCCAAAGGGATTAGAACAGTCCCTTTCACCCATCTGCTTTTGAGGCAGGCCCTAAGACAGGGAAGATCTAGCTGTCTGTGCAACTATGGGGAAATGGAACCCCTGGCAGAAACCTTCACAATGCTGGCACCTAGGGCATGGAGAAATTGTCCGCCTGCCAGCAGGAGATCCAGTCTGAAAACTTGGCAGCCTCTCAGCCTCACCCGGAACTGACACACATCCGGAAGAGTCCACCAACCACAAAAGTTGTCTTTGCCCTGAAGCTCCTGGCAGAGATCCAGGGTCACTATGCCATAGTGCTCCAGAGCCCAGAAGCAAAGGGGGCAATTGACCAGCAGTGTGCCTATTGGAAGTTCCCCCGGAGAAAGCTGTCACATAGACCCAACTTTCTTATCTCTTTAGACAAGAGGTATGGCCCAAAGCTTTTTCTAAAGAGTTCAAGGTAGAGATGGGGGAGCATTCCAGACACAGAGAAAAGTTCAAGTAAACTTATACAGCCATAATGCACAGTGAGATCTTACAAGTAGTTTGATATGACTGAAACTTTGGGGAGCAGGTGGAGCAGACCAAAAGATGAGGCTCAAAGTACAAAAGGCCAACTTCTGAATGCCTCACCAAGGGAAACAAACTTCATTCTGACGTGGTGGAGAGCCACCAATACAACCAGTTTCATGTGAGTGCCAGCTGAAGTATTATCTGGAGTGGGAGGCAAACCATTCAGGAAGCCATTAAAATGGTCCTGGAAAATATAAGAATGGCTTGATTTGGGGTAAAGGTAGTGAGTACCAAGAGAAGTAAAGACCAGTTGAGAGAGGGAGAATGGACTGGGAGTGGAGGTGCATGCCTGCAATCCCAGTTGCTCAGGAGGCTGAGGCAGGAGGATCCCAAGCTCAAAGCAAACCTCAGCAACTTAGCAAGACCCTAAGCAACTCAGCAAGACCCTGTCTTTAAATAAAATATAGAAACAGACTGGAGATGTTTCTCAGTGGTCAAGCACCCCTGGATTCAATCCCAGGTACAAATAAATAAACAGGGGCTGGGGATGTAGCTTAGTGATAAAGTGCCTCTGAGTTCAATCCCCAGTACCAAAAAACAAATACCCACACAAATATATCAGAGTACTAATGCTCTTTCACAGGCACACACATAAAAATAATTGAATAAATGAGTGAACAAATTTTTTTTTTTAAAAAGGCAGAACTACAGACTGGATGTGAAGGGTATCAATGGTGATTTCACTGAGGTAAGCAATGAAGTTAATAAATGAGATTTTGGGGGGATGTATTAAATTTGAAAGGCCCACAAATTACTCTAGAGATGTCCTATCAGCCCCTGGATTCACCAGTCTGCAAAGGACTAAAGCTCAGAAAAAATACAAGGCTGGAGATATGGACGTGGAAATCATTAACATAAAACCAAGGCCATGAGAGTAAATAGGATCACCTACAATGATGTCAAACAAGATCTGAAGGCCAAAGAGAGAGCCAGAAAATTTTCCATTGCTTAAAGGATGGTCTGAGGAAGAAAGGTCATTGACACTGGAGAAGGTAGCAGAGGTTATGTCTCCTATGTCAAGAAAGGGAAGATTTTTGAGATACTGGGAGTGGTCAGTTCTGTCAATGGCACTGTGAAGTGCTAAAAACATCAATTGGATACAATAATTAGAAGGCTACTGTGAGCTTTTCCTAGGATAGTCACAGGGAAGGTGTAAAGGCAAAAGTCTGACACCATTAAGATTCCAAAGGAGAGATCTACAATCTGAGGATATCCCCCCCAGGAATACACAACACCTTATGAATTCCATGAGTAAATAAACCCTTGTTTCCAAAACAAAGCTATTCTAAGTAGGTGTCATTTGTAAGAAGGCGTTGCTTCAGGCCAAAGGCCAAAACATGTCTATAACTGAATTCATTCATCTGTTAGTTGAATTGTATCCCCCCAAAAAAGAGATACTAAAATGCTAATCCCCCACCCCGTACCTTAGCACATGTCTTTATTTGGGAATAGAGTTATTGCAGAAATGAATTAGGATGAGGTCATGTCCTTAATCCAATGCAACTGCTCTTAGGAGACAGAGACAAAGACACACAGGGACAATGTCATGCAGAAACTGAGATTGGGGTGATATGGCTTAAAGTCAAGGAATACCAAAGATTGGAAGCTACCACCAGAAGCCACAAGAGGCAAGGAAGTCTGTACATCTCTGTTTTTTAAATCCAGAAATGTGGTAATATTGTTCCCCTGTATCCCTGTATCTACAGGTTTAATACCTATTATTATTTTGGGGGTACAAGGGATTGAACCCAGGGGCTCTGAACCACTGAGTCACACCCTCAGCCCTTTTTATTTTTTATTTTGAGACAGGTCTCGCTAATGTACTTAAGGCCTCACTAAATTGCTAAAGGTGGCTTTGAACTTGTGATTCTCCTTCTTCAGCTTCCCAAGCCACTGGGATTACAGGCATGTACCACCATACCCGGCCTTAATATCCATGGTTTTAACCTGCTGCAAATTGAAAATAAAAACAAAAATTTTAAAAATCCAATTACATCTTCCTGAAGTTGTACACCTTATGTCTTGGCAGTACTCCCTAAACAATACAATATAAAACTACTTACACTTTTCCATTATATTAGGGATTAAAACTAATTTGAGATAATTTTAAATCATGGGGGTCTGGAGATATAGCTCAGTTGGTAGAGTGCTTGCCTCCCATGCACAAGGCCCTCCCATGCCCAAGGCTTTAGATGTACAGAAAAATGGAGCAGAAAGTACAGGAATCCCTACAATCACTCTCCCTATACTCCTACATTTTTACTTGTCACAGTCTCTCTTATTGTTATATTTTGCATTAATGTGGTAACCATGTTATAATTGCTGAACTGATATTGATACATTATTATTAACCAAAGCCCATAGTTTCCATTAGGGTTCACTCTGTGTTATACAGTTCTGTGGGGGTTGATAAATACATAATGTCATGCATCTACCACTATGTACAATACAAAAGAGTTTTATTGCCCTAAAAATCCCTTGTGCTTCCCCTTCCTCTCCCAGGACCACTGGCAACCACTGATCTTTTTTATCGTCTCCATAGTTTTTCTTTTCCCATAATGCCATATAATTGGAAGCATATGATATGTGACCTTTTCTGATTGGCTTCTTTCATTTAGCAATATGCATTCAGAGATCATTCACATCTTCTTGTGGCTTGAAAATTCTTTTTATTGATAAATAATATTCCATTTTATCAACACACTGAGATTTATCTATGTGTTTACCTTTTGAAGGACATTGGTTGCTCACAAGTTTCAGCAAATATAAATAAAACCGCTGTAAACATTTGTGAGTAGGTTTTTATGTGGACATAATTTCTCAACTCATTGGAGCAAATACCAAGGAGTGTGATTGCTGGACTGTAGGGTAAGAATATATTTAGCTTTTTAAAGAAACTGCCAAACTATCTTTTAAAGTGTCTGCACCATTTTGCCTTCCAACCAGCAATGAAGAGGCTTCCTGTTGTTCCACATTCTTGTCAGGTTTGGGATTTATCAGTGTTTGGGGCTTAACCCATTCTGATAGGTGTGAAGCGGTATCTTGTTGCTTTAGGAAATAAGCTTTTCAGAAATGAATAGCTTGAGGTTAAAGCTACAAAATTGCCAACTCTAAGATTCTAGGGACATTTCTATAAACCAAGACATTCCTTCATAAATATGTAAACCCTTCAGAATGCCACAGGTAAATAAACTTTTATTTCAAAAATAAACTTTCAGTTTGAAAATAAATACACAAGTATGTTCCCACGGGGAAGATGATGGTGGCTAGGATGTTGCAGAGTTAGCAAATGTTTCAGAGGTCAAGTAACTACTCTGCTGCATCATTGCTGTTGGGAACTAGTGTTTTATCTTATTTAGCCACCCTCCCTTTAGACCTACACCCTCCCATAACTCCAAGATGGAATTCTTCCAGTCTCCTCTTTCCCTTTCTCTATCCATCTTTTAAAGTTTCTGTCTCTAGCCTGGTGCAGTGGCACACACCTAGAATTCCAGTGGCTGGGGAGGCTGAGGCAGGAGGATCATGAGTTCAAAGCCAGCCTCAGCAATGGCAAGGTGCTAATCAACTCAGTGAGACTCTGTCTCTAAATAAAATACAAAAAGGGCTGGGGATGTGGCTCAGTGGTTAAGCGCCCCTGGGTTCAATTCCTGGTACCCCCCCCCCAAACAAAAATTTCTGTCTCCATCAGTTTACTTCCATCTCCCCATCATCTTGCTAGTCCTGTCCTTTGCTCTGTTATCCCCAACTCCTGTGCTCCATTTAATTTCTTTCTCCTCATCTAAATTTTGGAAGTATTTCACTAAGTGAAAGAAGCCAGGTGCTAAAGACCACATGTTATATAATGCCATTTATGTGACATATGTAGTATAAGCAAAGTCCTAGAAACAGAAAGTAGGTTGGTAACCAGGGGCTGAGGTGAAGGGAAATAGGGAGCTATTGCTTTCTGGTGACAGCTTCTATTTGAGGTGACCTACGATATATTTTCTGTTTTTGTTGAAATCTATTGAATAGTGGTTTTCCTCTATCTAAATTTAAAAACAAGTAGAGTATTTTTAATTTTTTTGAAAATTACATTGTTTATTCCACATGTGTGATGTTTCTTTCCTCCTGTAGCCTTTTCTAACAGTCTTCTGGGCCTTGAAGACCAATTCTTTGGGAGTATTGAGAAGGGACTATGTAAAGAACAAAGGTCGCCTGGTCTTTAGGTCCTCCATCATGAACTAGCTGAAAGTGCTTTCTGGAAATTCATGACAGTCTCCATCCTTGACTGCATCTTTGATATTTGAGAATTAATCAGAGTGAGGCTATGGTAAGTCAAAGAAGTCAGTGAACCTATTTTCTAGTTTTCAAGGCCTACCAAGCACCAAAATGTCTGTTTGCCTTGGGATTCCAGATGCTGTTTTCTGTGACTGGAACATGGTTCTTTATCAGTATCCCCAGAGGGAATATTGTATCTCCTCAAGGAAGACTGATAATTACTTCTCTGGTGTCAGACTTTGAATCTTTGGAAATATTTTCTGTATTGGTAAATGGGATTGAGGAGAAATTTGCAAGTACTATTCACATGAGTTCCTCTGGGGCCAAGGAATCCTGGTCCCTTGGTTAGTAACAGTCAAGAGCAGAAATATTTAGATTTCTTTCTGTGGAAAATAGATTTTGTTCTAAATACAATTCAGTTGGGGATTAGATGAAGTTTCTAGGGACCTTGTAGTTTGGATGCCCCATGGTTTCTTACATGTGAGTGTATTTGTCGCCCACCCCACTTACAGGCCAAACACTCTACAACCAGCCCCTCAATTTCCTTATCATTTGCTAACAGTTTCTACTTTGCAATCTGGGTCTTTCTTCTTTTTCCTTGCTTAGCCCAACACTTCCCACAACCCAAGAGAGCTCAGGACAGTTTCACTTGTTACCCTGGAAGTCCTTTCATTGTCTTCATTCTCCTTGAGCTCTCTAAAGCAGTTGACATTGACCTTCCTTCCCTTCATTCTTGAAGCTCTGTCCTATTTTGGAATGCTCATGATAATGACTTAGTCTCTTCTTTATAATTTCAAATTCTGAAGTTTCATTCTTCCCAGGGCCTCTGTTAATGCTTTTATGAGAAAGGCTCTCAAATATGTATCTGCAGTCCAGCCCTCTATCCTGGGCTCCGTGTACTCAGATTTGACTTTCTGATACATATATTTGTCTAGATAGCACAAAGGTGCTTCAAATTCAGTATACCTCAGACCAAATGTGAGATCACATGCCTATAATCCCAGCAACTCAGGAGGGTGAGGCAAGAAGATTGCAAGTTTGAGGCCAGCCTCAGCAATTTAGCAAGACCCTGTCTCAAAATTAAAAAGAAAAAAATGTAATGTACCTCAAACTGAGCTTTCCATCTCCCTTCTATACCCCATCTCCCACTTATCTTCTTTTCTTGTATTCCCTATTTTGACGAATAGTCCAATTTTCTTCCAGAGACTTAGATTTGAAACCTCAAGATGAGCTTACTTATGTCCCACTACACAATAAAATTCCAATAAATTCCATCTTTCCAATGTGTCTTGTATTTGTTTCTTTCTCCCCATCTCTACTATCATTGCTTGATTCAGGTCCATGTTACCACTTGCATATTACAATAGTCTCTCTGTGTCTCTGCTTCTTCTATTCCAAACTACATATCTTGCTGTTTAAAAAAAATCTGAT